TCTTCAGGTGAAAGCAGCTTTGTTACTCACACACCTAAAGAAAGCCACTGATGTAGATCCATTCCATAATAATCATTTTCCAACCAATCAAACGGCATTTACATTATGAAATCAAAGAAGCAAATTTCACAACAAGAAGTCAATATCATATGTGTAAGCCACTAATCTGACAGATAACATTTAAAAATTATATTTTGCATAAAGAAAATGTATTCAAGACATCGCTTTCCTTGACAATTAAGCACATTTTCACGCCAATTCTTTTAATATAATACATCCAGATCTGAGTTACTTCTTTCTGAAAAGTAAATTTCAATACTGTAATATTAGTGTTTTTATTTGTTATTAAAATGAGTATAAAAGCAGCATAATACATGTTTTTTATATATAATATAGAATTTCTACAATTTCAGTGAGAATTCTTTCTGTTTTAGTATTAAATGACTGATATAAAATGTACATATATTTATATGTATGTTTTTTCATTTAACCGTAACAAGAGTCCATTTTTACACACTAAACATAGTAAAATATGACCTATAGGTCAATAAAAATTGTTTAAGTTTTCCTTGTTTAAATTGTTTAAATTCCATCAAAAATGCACAAACAACCATGATGCAAAAAGGTGCAAAAAATCTTGCCATTTCATTCAATGTTACTGTAAACACAAAGACTGAAATCAATAATTAATCCAATGCAATCCAGCACTGCTATCAACATTACAGGTGACAAAAGACTACAGGTAGATAGGTACCTAATGAATGGCCTACAGAAAACAAGGAAACTAGTTCAACGCCTGCAGGACTCTGGGAGTTTAGATAAGTAGACAGTAAATACAAACACTCCACTGTATAGATAATATACACACACTAATTATGAATTCACACAGTTAGTAAAGACTGATTTATAATATGCACATCGAAATTAATTTAGCTTGTTCATTTACTTTGACAGATTGGGCTTTCCTCAGCTAACTGCCTTCCAGAAACTGTCAAATTACTCACTTCACAGCTTTTATACCCACCGCGAACAAAATAACTACAATATGGTTAAATATTAACTCTATATGACTATTTTTCGGCACGCAACTGCCAGCGTAGAAGTTAATAAGTATCCAGGTAGTTATACACCTAGCAACAATTAGCCTGCAGACTAGAGTGAATGGAGAAATCCATTGTAAACCCGTTAGCTTCTATGCTAGCAAGCTAACGGCCAGCAAAACTTACCTGATGAATGTAAGATTAGACAGCGCCTCACAAAAGCTACTCGCGGTTCTCTAGACAGGTGCCTATGTGTTCTCAGACGAATGAAAGTAAACGAGTTGTAATTAGTGATGGTAAATGTCCAGTAGAGCGTTTTTGACAGTGGAAGTTGAGGCTGTATTGACTCTATTAGCTCTGCGTCTCCACGTCGCCACTGACGCTCGTGACATCTCACCTCGCCGAGCACGCGCACAATAACGCTCCAATCAGACCGAGGCGGAGAATCTGCCTCATGAATATTAATTACAATTCTAAACGAATTAGCCTAATATATAATTAATATAAATTCTCAGAACTTTTGTTAATGAACCAGATATGCTACAAACCGAGTTTGTTTACTTACTTTCGTAGTGTATACTTTTTTGTAACATTAAATATAAAGTATATAAATATAAAATAAAAAAAATTAGGGTCAGTAAGATATTTTAAAAAGAAATCAATACTTTTATTCTGCAGGAGGGCATTAAATTAATCAAAAGTGACAGTAACGACATTTATAAAAAAAAAAGAAAAAAAGAAAAAAAAGAAAAAAGAAAAAAGAAAAAAAAATATATATATATCAAATGAATGAATCTCCTGAACTTTCTATTTAAATATAAAATATAAAAAACTTAAATTATATTCAAACAGAAAATTCGTATTTTAAATTGCAATATTTCACAATATTACTGTTTTTTCTGTATTCATAAAATATGACGCAAAAATGAAGCATTGCAGCCTTGATGAGCAATGCGATGAGCAAAAACAAATATAGTGCATAAACACAAAATAAATGTTAACTATATAGAAAAACTGTTATTCTGCTATTATGATTTATAGTTTTGTATACAGTATTAATAATGTGTAATATTAAGATATACATATTACTACAATGACACAAAGCCAAATGTTTTTACTGTATTTTTGATTAAATATATGCAGCCTTGGTGAGAAAAAAATTATTTTTTTTCAAAAACAAATATAATACAAAAATGTACATAAAATAAAAATGTTAAATATAGAGAAAAATGATTCTCATGATCTATAGTTTTATATACAGTAATAAATGTGTAAGATAAATATTATTTTCTTACAATAAATAATGACAGTCAAATGTTTTATACCTTAAAATATATTTACATAGAAAACAAAGAAAAAAATATTTTAAATTGTAATATTTCACATTACTGTTTTTACTGTATTTTTGATTAAATAAATGTGTGCAATAGTTTTTTTTCCAACATAAATATAATCCAAAAATATACATAAAATAAAAATGTTAATTATATAGAAAAATTATATTCTTATGATTTAGTTTTATATACAGTAACAATACACAATACAAAATTAAGTTTTTTTTTTTTTTTACCATTAACAATGACACAAAGCAAAACATTTTACATCTTACTCTTTATTTATAGACATTTGTGCAAAGTATATTACAGTACATTACATACAGACAATCCACAGAGCGGTGTACAATAAATCTGTCAGACTGATATGGCTGGATAAAGCCTTTTCCGTTCATTCAACATACACATTTAGAACAACCAGCCTAATAAATAATGTTTTCTCATAAATGATATCATAACATGGTAGATTATTTAAAATCTTGTAACAGTTCTCATGTAACTAGGGTTAAAATGAGAAAGATGCGTCCACCTCCCAAGTCCCTGTACCAAAGTGCAAAGTCAGTTCCATGACAGAAGAAAACAAATCGTCATTAAGGCTTCATTCTTCTGCAGACAGATATTTCTGTCAGCAACTGATGGCGAGACGACCCATTTAACATGAGCTCACAGAACAACAACAATGACAGTCAAATGTTTTATACCTTAAAATATATTTACATAGAAAACAAAGAAAAAAATATTTTAAATTGTAATATTTCACAATATTACTGTTTTTACTGTATTTTTGATTAAATAAATGTGCAATAGTTTTTTTTTTCAAACATAAATATAATCCAAAAATATACATAAAATAAAAATTTTAATTATATAGAAAAAATTATATTCTTATGATTTAGTTTTATATACCGTAACAATAAACAATGCAAAATTAAGTTTTGTTTTTTTTACCATTAACAATGACACAAAGCCAAACATTCTACATCTTACTCTTTATTTATAGACATTTGTGCAAAGTATATTACAGTACATTACATACAGACAATCCACAGAGCGGTGTACAATAAATCTGTCAGACTGATATGGCTGGATAAAGCCTTTTCCGTTCATTCAACAATCACATTTAGAACAACCAGCCTAATAAATAATGTTTTCTCATAAATGATATCATAACATGGTAGATTATTTAAAATCTTGTAACAGTTCTCATGTAACTAGGGTTAAAATGAGAAAGATGCGTCCACCTCCCAAGTCCCTGTACCAAAGTGCAAAGTCAGTTCCATGACAGAAGAAAACAAATCGTCATTAAGGCTTCATTCTTCTGCAGACAGATATTTCTGTCAGCAACTGATGGCGAGACGACCCATTTAACATGATTTTTTTTACCATTAACAATGACACAAAGCAAAACATTTTACATCTTACTCTTTATTTATAGACATTTGTGCAAAGTATATTACAGTACATTACATACAGACAATCCACAGAGCGGTGTACAATAAATCTGTCAGACTGATATGGCTGGATAAAGCCTTTTCCGTTCATTCAACAATCACATTTAGAACAACCAGCCTAATAAATAATGTTTTCTCATAAATGATATCATAACATGGTAGATTATTTAAAATCTTGTAACAGTTCTCATGTAACTAGGGTTAAAATGAGAAAGATGCGTCCACCTCCCAAGTCCCTGTACCAAAGTGCAAAGTCAGTTCCATGACAGAAGAAAACAAATCGTCATTAAGGCTTCATTCTTCTGCAGACAGATATTTCTGTCAGCAACTGATGGCGAGACGACCCATTTAACATGAGCTCACAGAACAACAACGAAATATTAAATCAGAGAAAACACCACAGCGAGTGCATTAAAATCATCTACGACCCTCTAGGCAGGTTTTACGGTTGTTCCGCTGACAGTGGAGGTCTGGAGGAACAGATGAGCTCAGAAGTATCTATGTAAACATGAGTTCTCAGCACTCTAAATTCATTCATTCTGTCACGGTTCATAAGGAACAACATCGAGAACGAGACACCGACACCCTGAAAAGATTCAACCATGAGGAAATTTCATCGTGAGGTTTGTGGGATTCAGCCCTTTGCTTGCACATTTTGCAAAAAGGATAACAAATATTTTGGAAATCAAGATGATCATTTCATAACGAGTTCACATTTAAACATAAACGTCTTCAAATGTAGTAACTACACTGCGAAAAATCAGTTTCTTAATCAGCATTTTTGCCTTGTTTTTCAATAAAATATATATAAACATTTCATTTTTAAACCTTTTTAAACAAAATATGTTTAAAACATTCTGTAAAATTGATATTATGCTATTTTGTTTTTCAAATTAATTAATTTTGCTTGAGGATCAAACAAGATGACTTTACTTGAGAAGCAAAATTGTGTAATTTTACAGTTTTAAAAATAAGTTTCATTTTTCATTGTCTGTTTTTTTCTGCTTTGAAGCATTATTTATTTATTTATAATAAATGCATTTTGTTTAAGGATCAAACCAGATGAATGTCCACGAGAAGCAAAATTGCATAACATCAATTTTACAGATTGTTTTAAAATGAAGTTTAATCTTTCATTGGCAGATTTTTCTGGTTTTAAGCATTATTTATTTATTTAGCTTAAAGCAAGAAAAAGTGGTCAAGGTGGTGAGAAAAATAAATGCAACTCAAAATATATTCTCTGTATATATTGTTATCTTAAACTAAATATGTATTGCTTTAAGAAAGTTGTAATATTTTTACTGAAAAACAAGTCAAAAACCCATCTGCAGTGTATAAAACAAGATTTAAATGGGCGGTGAGATTAGAAACACACATTCTCTCTTTCGATTTGTGCAAAAAAATAAAAAAAAATACATTTGACAAAATTGTGACTCTGAAGTAAAAAAAAAAAAACCTGAGACAAACAATTTGTTGTACGCAGTGCACAACGTTAAAACCAGTCCTGGTCAGCGGTGAGTGTTTACTTGTACTTTCCCTTTAAAGCCCTTCGTCCCCATTTCCCATTGGCTCTTTCATTAGTCCCTCCCCTTTAATGACACTTGGCCTCTTCCTATTGGCCCGTTGCGGTGGGCAGCTCAGATATGACAGGGTAGTGAGCGTCTGGGGCTGGTTTCAGATGTTCTCGGCCTGAGGAACCTCTCGTATGCTCTCTCTGAGCTCGGGCCGGACACGCGGTCGCTGGCGTATGCTGCGTCCCGACGCGATGAGGTCGGCGTAGCCGCGTGAGTGCGAGAAGGCATAAGCGGAGCGACGGGAGCGTCCGCCGCGCTGGAACGTTGGCTTCCTCTTCTTCTTCTCCTCTTCTTCATCCTCCAGCTCGTACTTCTTCCTGTTCCTCTGGACCTGCAGGAAGAAGAACGTGAGGCTGTAGCGTCTCTGCATGTGTTGCATTGAACACTCTGTGTGACTGAAGGCTCTCACCTTGTCTCCGACCGAGGGACAGATGGTCTGATAGAGGAACTGGATGCAGATGACGGGAAGGAGACAGGTCCCCACCGTCAGGATGATGGTCAGCCACAGGTACGGCTGTCTCAGAGCGTTAGACGCCGCGCCTACGGGTCAAAACAACAACCATCACACACCAACTCACGGTACGGGCTCTGTTTGAGATTAAACCGTGAAAAGAACTGTGCCGTACATGTCAGCTTACAGACAAAATGTGAGATTTTAGTATTATTTATATACTATTATAGTATTTATAAATACTTTAAATTAGGTTTATTTTTTTATCATTTCTGTTTTCATTTAAATATTAGCACTTTTGTCATTTTTAGTAGTTTTTGTTTTTAAATATTACTGTTAGCATTTATTTTTGTATTTTCAGGTTTTCTTTTTAATTTTAGTTTCATTTTTAGCAATTTTATTTTGTGCATTTGACATTTGTAATTTTTTTATTTATACAAATAGGATTTATTTTACATTTCTTCAGGTTTACTTTGTAATTTTAGTTTAATTTTTAGCAATTTTGTTATGCACCTTTTTAAATATGACTTTTTAATACTTTTAAATATCACTAGCATTTTTTTTAATAAATTTTCAGGTTTTCATTTTCATTTTTGTTTAAGTTTTTAGAATTTTTATCATATCCTTTTGACATTTTTATTAGTGTTTTTTTTTATTTATTTTTTTTATAATACTAGGTTCATTTATTTTTAATTTCAGCTTTAGTTTAGTTTTTTATTTATGTATTTATTTTTTTATAGTTATTCATGTTAGTGCTTCAGCTTAGACTTAGTTGCCAAATTAACATTTCTAATTTTCATTTAGTTTAAGTTTTTCCATCTAATATTTAGATATTATTTCAGCTTTATTTAAATTTTTTTAAAAGTAATTTTAATAGCTTTAGTTAGTAAAAGAAGATTTAGTTTAGTAAAAGAAGCTTAGATTTCTTTTAAATATAGATAAAAAAACATAAAAAATTTAAATTTAAATAGTTGTGCAAAATTGTTAAATTAGTTTGAGTGCTATTTAAATTAATATAACAATAGAATAAATAAAATAATATATGATCATAAATCAGCCTTTTTGACCATTATTTTATGGCAAAAGGACCTGTGATTATTTAATTATATAGCTTTTGAATTAAATTTCTAAAAAGAACAAAAAAAAACATGCATATCATGCAATAATTATTTAATATTTAGTTAAGGATTATAGTTAAGAACCTTCAAAATTATATCAAATGCATATTCAAAAAAAATTTAAACAAACTTTTGAATGCAACAAGTATTTTTACGTTACTTATGCATTTTTGATCAATTCGTTTTGACTGTAATTTACATTAATAAATTAAAATATACAACAAAAATAATTACAAATTTTCTTCAATTCTGTGAAAAGCCTGCCTTCTCTTTATTTGAAGTCAATAGGACAAAGGGATTATTTAATTCTGCAGTGTTTGAATTATATTCCTATGAAAATGGGCTGCTTTTATTTTTCATTTTGAAGCATTTTGGAATTACGAGAGTTATGAAAACTATCAATAGATATGCAATAAAAGTTAGTAGAACTTTATCACCCGCCTGTGAAAGTGAAGGTGGTTGGGAAAATGACGTGGATTCCTGCGCTGTGGATGTCAAACATGACGCCAAAGTAAATGGCTATACTGCCGAGCACCGCGAAACAGTTCACGAACGTCCAGTAGGAGGTGTTTAACGAGATCTGGAGCGACGAGAAACAAGATCACATTAGATCAATGACAAGAGCCTCCTCTGTTGAGTACTGAATCAGTCACAGTCTAGAATGAAGTGAGATGCTGTCACATGATCGGCACCTGCAGGTTGACGGTGATGATGAGCGATGAGGCTGCGACCACAGCGAAGGACTGGTAATCAGACGGAGCCTCGCCGTCCTGTCCCATGGTCTGCAGGAACGCGCCGTACGGGATGAAGAAGATCATGAGGGACGTGAAGATGCCGTGGAACAAGCTGATGAAGAAGTTCTTGTAGTTGAACAGCGATCCTTGCTGCCCCGGGAGATACAGCTTCGGGAAGCGCAAACTCAGTTTGTCGTTCACATCCTACAGAGGCAGTTAAAGTTGTGATTTGATGGTGACTTTACAGTTTGCACAGATCACAGCTGGTAATGAAGCGATACCTGATCCAGAAGGCCGACGAGGAGAACAGGCAGACTGCTGTAGCAGACGTTGTACAGCGTGATGAACCAGTCTTCATATGCCGTCTACAAAACACACACAACATTCACTTCTTTAAAAACAAGAGTCACAGTAAATGCATGTGCTGTGAGTTTAATGTGCGCTTAGGAACACAAAGCACCTCCAGATATGCTATATTGTCACATTTTGCATAATTTCCATCTTTTTTTTGGGACAGATGATTACAGCATTTCACTATATTTATAATGAGAAGCATTTGTACACCTGTTGTCACAGAAACCTGTTTTTTTCCCCCAACAAAATAAAAGCTTGAGGGTTAAACTCTTGCAAGTGAAGACAGATATTGTAATTTTACTTCTGCTGTGAAAAAAATGTATATACTTATTATTAATTAATATTCATGTTTTATTTTACAGTAGGGTTGTATTACAATAGTAACACATTTCTGTCTTAGGAATAAATAAATATAATAATAATAATAATAATAATAATAAGTTATATATATTATTATTATTATTATTATTATTAAGAAATATATTTATTTTGCAATAAAACTGCACCATAAAACAAATATATAAAATATGTAAAATAAATACATTTATAATATGACGATGACAACAACAATTATTATTATTATTATTATTATTATTATTATT